TCGTTATCCAAAAGAAAAACGATAACATTTCAGTGATACTATTAGCAGTCAATGCATATGGTTATGTTTATCATGAATACATGAAATTTGTTTCATCATTCATAACTGGAATAATAGAATGGGTGATAAATAGCATATATAACCCATCATTTGTCCATTCAAGACTGACAGAGGATGTACCAGTCTTGGCACCGTTATGACCTGGCGTTTCTCAAGTCTTGGCCAGTCAAGTAGCGCCAAAAATGCTTTTTTTCTCTACTTTTTAATGTCACTAATTGTCAATGGTTCATATCTTCCCTCCGTTTTCCCATTTAGGCAGAAAACTTGAGGATAAGATTTTCACCCCTCATTTTTCGTCAAGCTTGTAGGCGGATTACGCTTTCCTTCGATATATCAACCTTACTTGGCCGATCGCTTCAGGATTTCTGACAGACATCTGCAGCTAGTTTGCAATTCCAAAAGTTTCGCCCGATGCATCATACTTGACCTTGGCATGTTATCTCGATCTTCGATTCCGCTTTTAAGGTGACAAGGAAAATGAGAACGAATAACCGAGAATGCAGCAGGAAAAAATGTTTATAATATAGACAATAATTTCATTATCAATATGGAAAAAAGGCTTCCGATGTGTGCATGTGTGTGTGTGTGTACAAGCAATTTTATGGTTAACCATGGAACACGTAAAACGCTTTTCATTGCCAGCGTGTTTTCCAAACAACATTCGCTGTCCTTGGGGCAAAAACCTGAAAATTTCCTACGGTGTTTAGACTTTGAAATGTGATTTGTGTGTTGTGTCCATGACAATCATGTTGATATAGGTATGGAGGAAGAAAACGAAAAAAATCCAGGTCAGTTCTGTAGATCAGCTCCTTTTCTTATTACTGATTGCTTTGCTGATTACTGGTCAGGGAAATTTTCCTGACGATGGCTTCTGTGCCAGAAACAGAAACGTCAGCATAAAATAAAAGAGTATCCTACGTCACGCCGAAATTTGGATCGAGAAAAAGTTAAAAAATGTTTAACCTTGACATGTATTGAAAAATGAAATTTAGAAAAATGTTGTCAACTCTTTGCATCTAACATAGCACCTTATAATAATTTGCCTGAGCAGGTTACTGTGTTCTTCGACTTTGATGAATTTATTAACACTCCATTGACACACGTTCTTCATGTTGCTTCCTCGAATTATGAAACCACATACTTTTGGAAAATTATTTAAAGCGTTCAAAGCAGTTGAAAATTTACTCAGTTTGCACTCAACTTATAGAAAAATATGTTTTAGCGATTTGAATGTTTCGGTGATTGAAAGGGGCAACTTCGTAATACAGCTTGCAAAGATTTACAAGCATGCTCCCACCGTCTTCTTGCACCCAGCAGCCCAGATTATTCAGATGATTCTTTGAAAAGGCTGGCAGCCCCGTTGTACTATGACCCTTGTAGTATGTACGAAACTGCATTGCCTTGCTGGATCGCTCAAGAATCTGTCATGGCACCAATTCATTATCAGAACGCATTTATAAATATAAGATTAACTCTGTAGCTTTGCGTTGGCTTGCAAACTACTAGTCTGGAACAGTCTAGACTCAATTCAATGACAGAGAATTGTTATTCATACCAGCGGTATCAAACACTGGCATGTTTATTAGTAAGCCCATAATACCGGTATTAACGTTTGCATATACGAAATGAATGTATCTCATCATTTGGTGGTACAAATAAACATTTGGGTGTCCTGATTCTGCTAACTTCCCACAATCATACATCAAGTAGCTGGGCTACTTTGTTCTATTACCCTTAGCAAAAAGAGACAGCGTCATTAACCGTATTTTTCATAAACTTGACTCCTTGACAGCCATCCCCCACATTAATTCCCGAACGATCTGGTTAGATATTTTCATTATGTGATGCACCGTTTGAAAGCAGGTGGCAGTGGTACAATAACCTCGATCGACTTTACCTGATGTGGAAACTGTTCCGAGAAGTTCAAGGTCTGGGAAGATGATCTACATTGTTTTGTCATGAAAAATCTCCTGAAAAAAAACGACTGGTTTACATCCGTAACTCTTCAAACCTCCTGGTCCACTCTGCAACTGCGGCGTTGACCAGTTGGTGCTCATCCAAAGCAGAAGCTTGATTTAGGCTCTTGGAAGTCCTATTCAAATCGATCTATTTCACTTGTTTCATCTATCCCTGTTTAGAATAGCGTTTGTAGTCTTTCGAAGCAGTCAAGCACAGGGTTGGTGTACGTTCCCTGCAAATGCCGGAACGGTTTGCCAAAGTTCTGTTGTTCCACCCGCCATTTAATGTCTAATCAATCCCAAGAAAGGGGAACAGTCATTTTTGACCAGATTTTGATCAGTCTGATAGGAATACTCCTTTTCAATTGGTTGTTTTTTTTTCGTTTTGCATTTCTTCATTTGTTACATCCAGGTTTTGGAAACTTATCGTGCAATTTAAGGTCAACTTCAATAAATTTCAATGACCTCCTGACATAGGGGCAAGAGCCACGGCACAGCTTGATGAAAGCGAATCTTAGATGTCACATTAGCCATAGTGAAGAGCATCAATAAATGGAAAGAAAATAACTGGTCTACCTTTTAGATGGCCAAAGTTTAGAAACACCCGAGTTATAAGCGCTGTTCTGGCACTCGACATTATTGTTGTCGACGTATTTCAGAAATGAGGTTGACATTTCTCACTGAAATTTCATACTCTGCTTATTGCTGCTACCAATCTTATTTATAGAATCTTCTTCCCTTTGAATCTGAGAGAAATGAAATTTGGCCCAACTTAGAGTATGAATTTTATCCACTCTTTTTTTTTCATTCGAAAGGCGTGGGCACAAGTTCATAGTAATTTTCTGATGCTTTCCTGCGTTAATGGCATTCACGTAATTACGATACACGGTGACATAGCCTATAGACAAGATTATGCATATATTATTGAACACCCATTAATTATTCATTTATCAATCACTAATCCTATTAACAAATTCGAAAATCTAATTTTTCGAAAAGTTCGGCTTTATGTTCTTTTCTCATGAATAAAGACTAGAAAATGTCCATTCGTCGTGTAGTGAGCTAACACAGCAGGGATCACAAGGTTTTCTTCGCCAGATTTACTTGGCCACATTTTTGGCTTAACCTTAATTGTCAGTCGGTCAGTTTCCATGGCAGATTGTGCTTTCAGGTGGGTGGGGGGGG